CCCCACGCCCCGTGCTCAGGCGTGGGTTACGCCCACGGGGGTTGCTGCCGTGGCCCCTGCCTCCTTCCTGATCCAGTCTTGCCCCTCTCCAGCGATGTTCCTACCACGCTTAAGTGCAATTATTCCACAGGCAGTTCTGTTTATGCAACGCCTTTTAAAACTCGTCTGTGGTCCTGCATTGCTCCCTGAATATAGTAAAACTACGTACCTCAGCCTCTGCTTGGCCTCTGGCTGCATTCAGCAGTGCTCTCCTTTGGGGCCAGGACTGTATCTTACTTTCTGTTCTCTTCCAGAGCAGTTGATTCTGTTGTCAGAATGAATGGATCGCTCCGGTTATTGGGGCCTCTTTGAAACAGTTTCCTAAAGGTCACCAGGGAGGGAGATTCTCCCAGCCATCCATCCATTTATCCATCCATCCATTTATCCATCCGTCCATTTATCCATCCATACATCCATTGAATTTCTGCAGCCAGTTTTATAAGCCCTGGCACTTAGGCAGGGGGCCTTTGCAGGGGTAAAGGGACCGGGTGCTTACTGAGTTGTTACTATGTATCAGGCATTCTACCATTATACTGTTTAATCCTCACAACCAGGAAACTGAGACTCCAGAGAACATCTTCATAACATCCTTTCCAGGTTTCCTGGTGTTGTGATGATCTTGGCAGTCACCCATCCACCTACCCATCCATCCATTCATCCATCCATCCATCCATCCATCCATCCATCCATCCATCCATCCATCCATCCATCCATTTATCCATCCATCCATTTATCCATCCATCCATTTATCCATCCATCCATCCATCCATCCATCCATCCATCCATCCATCCATCCATCCATCCATCCATCCATCCATCCATCCATCCATCCATTTATCCATCCATCCATTTATCCATCCATCCATCCATCCATCCATCCATCCATCCATCCATCCATCCATCCATCCATCCATCCATCCATCCATCCATCCATTTATCCATCCATCCATTTATCCATCCATCCATCCATCCATCCATCCATCCATCCATCCATCCATCCATCCATCCATCCATCCATCCATCCATCCATCCATTTATCCATCCATCCATTTATCCATCCATCCATCCATCCATCCATCCATCCATCCATCCATCCATCCATCCATCCATCCATCCATCCATCCATCCATCCATTTATCCATCCATCCATTTATCCATCCATCCATCCATCCATCCATCCATCCATCCATCCATCCATCCATCCATCCATCCATCCATCCATCCATCCATCCATTTATCCATCCATCCATTTATCCATCCATCCATTTATCCATCCATCCATCCATCCATCCATCCATCCATCCATCCATCCATCCATCCATCCATCCATCCATCCATTTATCCATCCATCCATTTATCCATCCATCCATCCATCCATCCATCCATCCATCCATCCATCCATCCATCCATCCATCCATCCATCCATTTATCCATCCATCCATTTATCCATCCATCCATTTCTCCATCCATTTCTCCATCCATCCATCCATCCATCCATCCATCCATCCATCCATCCATCCATCCATCCATCCATCCAACAAGAAGCTGGTATCTTTGTCACTCTCCTAGCTAGTGGAGGTTCAAATATTCTCAGAATACTGTCCTTGCCTTGGAAAGAAACAGGCACATAAATGTGGAAAATCACCACCAAATGTGCTCTGATGCTGACCCCCTAGGCTTTCCCCAAGGCATCTGTGCATATCTGTTAGTGGAAATCTGGTGTGTGGGAATTATACGAGCAGGATGTTTAAATCTGTAAGCTAACTCGAGATTCCATCAAATCACTGGCAACCCAGTTCATGGATAGTTTCAGATCTGTTTGCCTGTGAGGTTCTTTATAAAATGCCACAATGAGACCTGTTACCAAGGGGTCCCTTTCCTGAAAACCAGCGGATTCTCTAACTGAAGTACTAAATTCACCACATTTTTTGTTACTGGAAAGACTTTAATTGGAAACTGAAAGACCTCTCAAATTTTATTTAGGTTCCTAGAGTGTTGTGAGCTTCTGGTCTGGACCAATCAAGCTGTAAGGACACTGGGGTGCATAGAGCATGGTGTTTGCTGGACTGGAGATTGTAGTCTCTACAGACACAACAACAGGAGTGTAAAAAAGAAAGAAGAAAGAGAGATGAGAGCGGAGGGCTGAGAATGGGCTGAGCACGTGAACTGGGAACTTCAATGAACAGTGTGAAAGAGCCCTTTGGAGAATTAGAATTCTTTTCTATATCAAATATTTTGAAGGCTTAAAGCATGTCATTCCTATTATATTCACACTCCCCTACCCATCTCGATCCCAAAAGGAATAAACTATTTTTTCTGCACTTATTATGAAAGCTGAGAAAATATTGCTTTGCATGTCCTTGAATTTATTGACATAATGAAAACCAACCTAGACACAAGTCTCTTTTATAAAGCAATAGATACATATGAGAGTGAGTGCTACACACATGCTTATATCTGCGAAAAAGTAGTACTCGTGCGCTTCGGGGCTTGTTTTCTTGGCAAAACATTGACACCCGTGGGTACTTCGGCTTATAAAACGAGGCTCAGTCTTGGTGAATTACTGCAATGGCATTTTATTTGGTGAGGAGTGAGTTCCAAGCCTCGTAGCCTTGAGAAATCGTATTTCTTTTTCCTCTCTTGTCTGGTTCCAAGAGCACATGACTGTTAGTCCTTCCAGGTCTGAGCTCAGGTGTGCTGACGGCAGCGAGGAAAGCAGATGTAATGCACCGATTAACAAACGCTGCCGGCAAAGGGCCCGAGCCGCGTGCCACGGTTCAGACTTACATGAACCCATCTGCACCGTCTGTCTTTCTAAAAACAACTGACCTCTTTCCAGAAAGAAGCGAAGTTGTTTAATGGAAAGAAAATTATTAATAAAATAATTATACAATCAACACTCAAAGGTAAGGACAGGGAAATGTCAATTTAGAGAGAAAATCAATGTCAATGAGAGAAAATGAACTGTAGGGACTAAGATAATACTACATCTTCTAGACGTTCTCCTTACTTCCTGACAATGAGTAGAAACTGGAGACATAAGTTGTAGCTCTCATTGTTATGTATGGGACAGCGTGCTGGGACATCTGTGTGACCAAGGGCTGAGAAAGGAAGGCCACTTCTTGACCAAGCACCCTTTTTGGCTTCCACCCTTGAGTCAGATTTCATAAATTTCAAATTTCCTTTCAGTGATGCAGAAATTTGAGAAGGCCCCAGAACCTCAGGTGATCTTTGATGCCTCCGCTGCCGAGGGAGTGAGGTCCCAAGTTCCTGGCTCTGAGTCGCCCCTGAAGCAGTGCTTGGCAGGTAGGGGCAGGGGGTGGGCTCCTGGAGAATGGCGTAGGAATCTGCTCTGCTGATCCTGCAAAGCAAACCGAACAGAACCACTAAAACTGGAATGGAAAAATATACTTTATCCAAATCACTCTCTAGTCAGTCGATGCTCCAAAGGTACATTTAACTCATTTCCCTGAAGAGTTTCTAGTGCATCTACTATGGGCCAAGAACAGTGGGACCCTAAAGGTCAGGGAGCAGAAATGAAAGACACTAGTTCCTTATAGAGCTTCCTGTCCGGGTTGGGTGATCCCTCTGTCTATTTTAACAGCGAGGCCAGGGAGGGGTAATAACAGCTCTCATTTCTTTATTGAGCATGTACCTGTGTATGGATCATTTCATGATCCTACAACCACCTATGAATAGTGGTTGTTGTTCCATGTTGCAGTGAGTGTGTGTGTGTTGAAGGCAGGGTGTGCGGGTATGTGTCTGTCTGTCCTCAGCATCACCTGGGAGGGACAGGTGGGTGACTGTCCTGTGGTGCTTGCAGACTGTGCCTTGGATCAGGCCTGCAGCTTCCTCACAGTGTCCACGGTGGGATCAGAAGTCTCCTGTGAATTCTATGCTTGGACAAGTGACAATATCGCCTGCACAGTTTCTGGTCAGGTGAGTCATGGCCATCACAGGTCATCTCTGCCTCTCATTTGTCTGTCAGACACACTGACTCCGATGAAATCCACACCAGGCTGATTAGGTGGTGGGATGAGATTGCCAATAGCTGATCCCAAGTTGCCTCCATTTCTTCAAAGTGGTGAGACCTTGGACAATTGAGACAGCAATAGCCCTGCATTGGCTCATGATGAAACTGACAGAAAGACCATTCCTCTGAGCAGTATCGTGTCCTGACACATGAGTCAGAAGAGAATTTTGAGGCTGAGCCCCCCTTCTCTTCCCCACCAGTTTACTCGGTGGGCAGGCTGGGTATTGGATGCCACTGGCCGTTGTCCAGAGCCCTAAATACCCGCTGTCCCTCTGAGTCCCAGACCCCGGCATTCCTTCTCATTGTAGAAGTAAAGTAGGACTGTGGCTTAAAAAGAAAAAAGGAACTATTAGTTGGAACCATGTGAAACTGCTGTTTCTGTAAGTCTAAGCTAGTAGAATATTGGCAATGCCACTGTTACTGCGAATTAGGGCAGAAGGATGGCAGTGGGAGCCACGCTCCTGTCTCCTAAATTGCTAAGCACATGCAGATCTCCATTTCCACCCTCCGGTTCCTTATGTGCCCATCCAGAAAATTTCTGTGTGTTTATAAGCATCTTTTTTTGTTTGTTTACATGCTAATAGTTTATAATACACATTTCTCCCCACATCTTAATAACTAACCTTTTCTTTTTAATGCCTTATACCAGTCCATTCTATGGAATTACATTATTTATCTTATTTGTGTTAGCAATTTTGCTACAGCATCACCAGTGGTCCGTGGCACACTCTTTGTCCATGTACCTGTGCCTACCTGTGAGTGTGTATTCATGAGTGAGGCACATGGGGGTGCACCCCTGAGTGTTGTTAGCCCTTTCCTAGCTCCCCGTAATCAGTGGAATTACTCTGTCCCTCCAATGGGATTACCTTCTCTTGAACCACATGTGTCTGTGCAGCTAATACTCGGGGCTGGAACTTGCCCCACAGGTGTCTGTTTGCTCCAACAGGCTGGGAGCAAATCGTGAGCAGGATGTTTTCTTTTCTATCTTTGTAACCCCAGCGCCCAGCCGTAGTTAGGGTTGATAAATGTTTGTGGGATTAGCTGTCAGGAATGATAATGCAGCCTCTTTCCATCTCCAGGATCAAGATGCAGCGGGGAACTCCAAGGCCACGGGCTTTGGGAGCCTCAGGTGCCAGGTGAAAGTGAGGAGCGGGGGTCAGGACTCTCCGGCCGTGTATCTGAAGAAGGGTAAGTGGGTCAAGATGGATGGCTGGGGACTCAGTGGTTTAGCATGGCCAGTGTTTGGAGCTGCTTCCCAGCAGGGCACAGTCAGGGGCCGGACTGTCCCACAGCCCTCCATGCGCCAAGCCTGGCCTCCCTCCCCTGGCTCCTTTGCTCCTGGGGCAGACGCATCAGTCACAGCTGTCCTCCTCAGACAGTCACCTGATAAGAGGTCTACATGTTGTTTTCATTTGTATCCTCATGTCTGATCCTCGCCACAGGCCTGCAGGGATTGGGAGGGCCACTCTGCAGGCGAGAAACTGAAGTGCAGAGCAGACACCAAGGCTGCGGGCAGAACCCAGTGGAGTCTATGCTGGGCCCCACACCCCCCCGAGGCTGCCTGTGATGTGGGGGTGTCTGGGCTCCGGGCTCCTGCAGCTGCCTTCCCCCACGGAGCTTTACCCTCCCGTCCTTCCCAGGAAGTGGTCACATCCAGCGCAAACCTCCCAGCACTTCCTCTGACATCACCTCGCACTCAGGACCTGCTCCAGCTGCGATGGGCATGCAGCTACCTGGGGGGCTTGTAAAACTGCAGATTCTGAGTCTGGAAATCAGGTGGGGCCACGATTCTGCCTTTCCGATGACCTCTCAGGAATGCCTAAGTGGCAGGGCCTGGACCATACTTTCAATAGCCAGGGCTTTTCATATTTAATAGTTCACAGCTCTCTTGCCCATACGCTCTTTCATTCCACCCTTATAGAAATGTTTGGAGGAAGGCATAAAGGGGATCGTAATCCTCACTTTACAGATGGGGAAACTGAGGCTTAGAGAGATTGAGAGTTGCCCAAGGTCAACTGCTAGTAAATTGGGAGCTGGGTTTGAGCATGCATGTGTCTGAATTTCCCCTACACAGCTCACAGAGGGGTGGGCAGGGAAACATTTCTCCATCTTCGAAGCGTGTGTGGGGGACACAGCGAATCTCTCCCAGAATCCTACAACCTGCACCCTGTCCTGCTCGCCCGCCTCCTGCCTCCTCTCCATCAGGGCCAGGAGAGTGACAGCGCTGCAGGGTCCTGAGCCTGGGGCCACAGCTGGCTCTGCCCTGTGAGCTTTGATGCTTCCATTAGTCACTCACAGCTCCCCAGCCTCCCTTCACGCAGGTCAGGGTGAGGGTGCTGGCCCCCCTGCCTGGGTGGCTGCAGCTCTGCCACATGCCTCCTGTGTCATCTGTGATCTGGGGCCACGTTTCTTGACATTCTAAGCTTTCATGTTTTCTCACTAGTAAAATAGGGGTCACAAGTAATGAGGTGACACAGGTGGAGAGGTGACACAGGTGAGGCTGTTTGGACCATGTTGGCACATGGAAATAGCAAGGGCCGGGGATTTCTACAGTTGTGTTCATTCTTGCTCAAAAGTTTCCTGTTGGCCAGGGGCTAAGGCTAAGGACCAGGGGACCAGAACATAGCCACGGGGGCTGACCAGAGATTTTGGGGTTGGGATGAGGGTGGCAGGCATGCTATTCCCGTGGTCTGTAACTGAGGGCAGTTGGCCTGGCTCCCAGCAGTTTCAGACTTGCACTGCAAACAGCGTGTGGTGAGTGGGGACAGTGCCACGCCCAGGCCCAAAGCCTCGTCTGACCTCTGTCCTCAGCAGGGACAACATTTGTGTTTTTTGTCCTGGGTCCTTCAGTCACTCCTGCCTCTGTCTGTGTTAGATGAAGCTCCCCTGGGGGAGTGGAGTCCAGAGAGCTCAGACTTCTCTGATCCACAGCCAGGGTTACTGGAATTTCTGTCCAGTGTTTATCCCAGTTATATTTACTATCCATGTTAAAAATAGCAAAGCATACAGATTATTTTCTAAAAAGGAAAACAAATACAGTAAGTAGCCCCTCCCAAAAGTTTTTTTAAAAACTATACCTTGGCCTTGTAGCACATTTTTAAAAAATGCAATTGTACTTCTTTTTAAGTGTGTGCTATTTCCCCCTCTCCTCCTCTCCTGAAAGTTTATACTTTGGGGGAAATTGTGAAGTGTCCTTGCTGCCAAACTAATCAAAGGAAGGACTGCTTTTTGTTTCCTTTACTGTGGGTCTTTTTTGGCTTTTTAAAACATTTTTATTTTTAAGCAGAAAATGCTGAGTCCCAGCCCGTTCTGGATTCGGGTGTTGTGGGAAGAGAGGGGAGGTAGGGTAAACTGGTCTGGCTTAGACTCCTGCTCTGATCAGGAAGGACTTTCTAATTCTACCTTTGTAAAATGGGAAAGGACAGCTGAGGGGAAAGGACACATTTTCTGAGCATCTCTAGCACAGTCTGTAGCACCGAGTAGGTGGACGGCACACCGTTCACATGCCGAGCTGTGCGGCCTGGAAGACAGGACAGCTTGATCTCTTGTGCGGAACTGCCCTCTGTCTACGCCCACTTCACGTCTGCGGCCTTGAACGTGGAGGCGAGGCCAAGTGATGCTGAGTCAGAAGATAGTGCTCAGAGGTTCCTTAGAGACCACGTAGCCCGACCCCCCATTCGCAGATGAGCTCTAGAGAGAGGAAGCATTGCATGGGACCCGGGACCTCAGGGCATGACCTCCCCGCCTCTGACAGGCCTCCCGGACCTGCTCCATTATCTGGGACTCCATCGTGTGGGCCCCTCAGCGCGGGCGGGTCCCAGGGGTCCTCGCTGAGCACCCGCGGTAGGACACGCCCTTGGCAGGCACTGAGGCTGCAGCTGCAAACTAGACGGACGGGATGGCTGCTTGATAGAGAAGTTGATCCAGCGATCCGGTCATTTCAGAGCGTGGCAGGCGCTTTGATGAAATGAAACAGGGCAGTGGATAAAGGTGTTCGTGGGCTGCCCAGGACAGTCACATTCATAGAGACAAGAAAGAGAACAGTGGTGCCCAGGGGTGCAGGAGCGGAGCTGGGGGGCTGGTGGTTGGTGGGTGTGGAGTTGCAGTTTGGGATAAAGAAACAGTTCAGGAGATAGATGGTGGTGATGGTCGCACAGCAACGCGAATGTGTTTAATGCCTTTGAACTGTGTACTTCATTAAAATGGTTAAAATAGTAAATCTTGCATACGTTTTATCACAAAAATAAAAAGAAGGATGGACGTGAGCTGTTTTAGGGTGGTCAGGGAAGGAGCTTTAGAGGAAGGGGTGTTAGAGCTGAGACCTGAGGCTGTGGAGGAGCCCCCTGCAAGCATCTCGGGGCAGGTGGTCATCTGGCCGAGCTGTGTGGGTGATGACAAGGTGAGCTGGGACCCGGCCCTGCAGCCCAGGGCAGCACTGTCCAATGGGGCCTTCTGCAGTGACCGAAGCGCTCCTCCAACCTCTGCAGCAGCCAGCGTGGCCATGGCACTGGAATGTGCCTGTGGCAGTTCAAACTCTGATGACCTGAAACTGGTGTTGGAATAGTGACATACGGCTAGCGACTACTGCATTGGGTGGCAGGGATGGCTCCAGGGATCACACGCTATGGAGGAAGGGATGTTAATCTCAAATGGCTTAAATACAGGTGAAGCATGATAGAGCCTTTAGTAGAGGCAGACAGAATGCAAGGGAGATAGAGGAAGGGAGATAGATTCTAACCATAAAAGTCTGGGGGAGCCCGGCCGGGTGTGGCTCAGCGGTTGAGCATTGACCTAGGATCCGGGAGATCGTGGTTCGATTCCCGGTCAGGGCACATGCCCTGGTTGCGGGCTTGATCCTCAGTGAAGGGTGTGCAGGAGGCAGCCGGTCAATGATTCTCTCATCATTGATGTTTCTCTCTCCCTCTCTCTTCCTCCCTCTGAAATTAATAAAGATACATTAAAAAAAGAGAAAGTCTGGGGGATGGACCCTTTAAGTGGAGCTGGGCTTTGGCAAAGGATGGGCGGGGGCTTTGGTGGCATAATCAGAGGACAGTCAGTGAGAAGGGAGGAGTGAGCCAGTACTCAGAGGGAAAAGATGCTGGCCCTTTGGAGACCTGCAAAATATCTGCTGAGCATCAGTTAAGGGCCAGGCTCGTTGCTGAGCCTTTTACGTACTGTCCGCCTTCTCACCTGCTCATGAGGATTACATGCAGTCATCCCCATTGTACAGATGGGTAAGCTGAGACTCTCAGGAATTAGGGAGTTGCCAGCTAGGGGTATTGTAGGCGTTTGTACTCAGGTCTGTCTCATCCTGAAGCTTGTGCTCATGGGTCCCACAGTGTAAGCTCTCTGCTGCCTCCAGGTGTGTAAGTTGAGACCTGGTGAACTGCTGGATTGGTGGGAGGTCAGGTGGTGCTGAGCAAGGCTCTGGCATCCTCTCTGCCACCCACCAGCTGTGCAGACCAAGGCAAGACCATTAACTGGGTAAGACTCTCTTCCCTCAAATGTAAAAGGACATCATAATAGGACTGGCATTTTGGCTAGAGTGAAATATATAGTCTCATATTTGCAAAATGATGCTCTAAAAATAACAGGGCTTATTGGAAAGGTAGAGTTGGGACAGGGACGGGCAGAACCTAAGCCATGACATTTCCAGCCAGAGGACTGACAAAAAGAGTAACAATCCCATTTAAAATGAAAAATCCACAGTTTCAGAAGCCATTCTGAACCCATCACAAAGAGGAGCTACAGGGAGGTAAAGGCAGGTAGCTTGGTGGGGGGAGGGCAGGATGGGTTGGGATGGCTGAGTATGGAGAAGAGGGCCAGGTACACAAAGACCAGGAGAAATCGCAGTTGTGACACTGAAGACAGAGCCAGTGCCGCCTGAGGTGGGGGAATGTGGGCCAACGGGCATCGTGTCCGGGCCCGTTTCCCTGCACTGGCTGCTCTGCACCGCCTTTGCCTGCTCTGCGTGCTCCTGTCGGCTGACGGCACAGGGGACTGGTGGGGAAAGCTGCAGATTTACCTGCAGGACCCCAGCACTGCCGGGCCCAGTTCCTGCCCAGCGCATATGTGAAACACCAAGACACACTGGTGGCAGAGCAGGTGGCACGAAGCTCTCACGGAGGTGAAATGCAATGAGGTCATGTAGGGGAAGTATGTGGCATGGTGTCTGCGTGTATAGTTGGAGCTCAATAGTTGCTGGTAATCATAAAAATAATAACAAACGCCAGCTCTCCGCTCACCGCCTTTAACCCTCCAAGGTGTCGTGGGCCTTTGTCCAGGTCTGCGGGCTCCACACTCCACCTGCACAGGCACGTCCCTAAGGTTCACAGCACAGAGAGGATCTCATCTTGGGCCACGCTTTGCCCTTAGCACAGCCAGAGGGGCCACTGTCGTCTGGACAGTCAACACTGTCAACTCTGCATTGCTTTGAGATCTTTAAACATTTTTTTTTTCTGCCTTTCCCCCAGGCCAAGAATTCAGCACAAGAAGTCAGAAAAGCTTTGAACCAACTGGTTTCCAAAATGTGCTTTCTGGAATGTACAGCCCCGCCGTGTTCCCAGGCTCGGGAACCAACCGGACAGAGGTCCATCTCTTCTGCCTCCTCTCATGTGACCGGGACACATGCTGCGACGGCTTCGTCCTCACGCAAGTCCAAGGAGGTAGTGTAGATTACACCCTGTGGTCTACAAAGGACGGGGACATGTGGGGTCACAGAAGCCAGGACGTACAACCTCACAGACACAAGGCCAGGGACAAACCGCGCTTCTCAACATGTCACATGCTGTAGGGGCCACTTCGTGTTGTGATACCGTTTTCTTCCTTGCTGCTGTCTTTGGAGGAGGTATTATGAGCTCCATTTTACAAACTGAGCAACTGAAGCTCAGATCATTTAAACCATTTGCTCATAGACACTTAGCTGCCAAGCGACAGAGCTGAGATCTGAGTTCAGGTGTATCTTGGACAGCATCTCACTGCCACCTCTGAAACCCAGACTGGCCACACTGGTCAAAAAATGTCAGTTCGTTCCCAGTAGCCATGATCATTCATTCCAGTATGGCAGGTCCTGTGATCAATAGGACTGGAATTTTCTGCTGTCTCTCAGCAGTAGGGATGGACTTCTGTCTACAGAAATAAATCTGTAGACTTGGCTATGTTGACTAGTGGTTGAGAAGGGACTTTGGTGTCACACAGACCTGGGTTCTGGCCACTGCTCTGTCACTTTCTGGCTGTGCACATTGGACAAGTTGCTTAAACTATCTAAGTTGCAGTTTCCTTGTCCATGAAATATAGATAGTGATAATTCCCATTTGGCTTCTTGTTAAAAAGACAATGGGTGCAGAATGGATTTGGCCTCTGGTATGAGATAAATTTTGTAACAAAATTTATTATGGGGCTGGTTGCATTCAGCTTATGGAGAATTCATTCTGAAGATTAAAAAAATTTGAAGTAGGCCTACTATCTTTTTATGCCCTCACTTTCAGTCAGTAATAAAATTCAGTTGACCACCATATACGTGCAGTCCAATGTGCTAGATGTTGGGAGTGGGTAAAAGGAGCTAGAGTCTGCTTGGGGAGGGAGGGACATCAGGAAAGGACTGTGACCTTCACTCATTCATTTGTGCCTCCATTCAGGAAACATGTGCTGAGCACTGCTGTGCACCAGGCTTGATTAACAAGGCAGCATGAGTGTCGAGACTGTGGGAGCCTTGGAATGCAGAGGACAGAGATACCAAGGGGACTTGGTAGTCAGGGAAGGCTTCCTGGAAGAGGAGACACATGAGCTAGTTTTTGTGAGATTGGTAGTATCTAGATAGTGAGAGAAGAGAGAGAGTCTGGCCCAGGGTGGGCCTTCATGTGAGCTGAGCGAGAGGCAGGGAGACTGTGTGTGTTCTGAAGAATGTTAACTGTGACATTGTGTTCCTCAGTAAGCAGACATTTTTACAGCGTCTACCTTCTATAGCACCTGCAATGAACTCCAGCATTTCCATCGTTCCTCCTGAGAAAGTGAACCCTGCTTCGTGGGCGCTAGAGCCCTTTGCCTCCACCTTCTCAGGGGCCTGGCTCCTCCTTCAGCCCTGTCCTCCCCTGCCTGTCCTCAGCCAGTGCCCTTCACTGTCTCCCCACTACTTGTCAAGGTTCTTAGACTCTCACGCTCCTTAAAAGCCAAAGGGAGGGTAACACTAAGAGCTCTTGACCTCAGGTGTTCCTCCAGCTCCGGTCTGTTTCTCTCTTTTTCTACCATAGCCAGACACTGCAACCTGAAATGCCACCACTCTCCAAACTGCTTCTACCCTGCTCACCAGTCACAGGTGGCATTGTCCTGTCCCTCCTTAGCTTGTTGTCTCTGGCCATCGACACTATCAACCACTCCCTGGTTCTTTACACTCACCTCTCCCGACTTTGGAGACACCCTTCTCTCAGGCCACCCCTCGTGCCGCTTCGTGAGCACGTTCGTCTGAGCTTAGCTGTCAGCAGGCTCTGCCTTCACCCGGGCTGGGACTCTGCAGAGCTCCAGGTCCCCAATTATCTGCTGCCTGGATAGATCCCTTGGCTGTCCTGCAGTATCTCAAAGTCAACATGTCTCCACAGGGATGGATAGTTTTTACCTTAAATGAGCCACTTCTGTTATAAATCTCATCTCCCGGCAGAACACACAAGCCAAGAAGCTGGGATCATGCTGAATTCCTCCAGCCTCCCTTCCCCTTCACGAATTTGTCACTCTCATTTCTTGGTGCTGCTTTCTTATTATATTTGGGATGGAGATTAATTTCACCCCTACCTCTACTGTCTGTAATTGAACTGTACTAATTTTTTTGCCAATTGCGTCAATCTCCTAATTGCTCTCTCACCCCAACCCCAATGCTAGGTTCCCCACCATCAAAATCAGTCCAGACCCCTCTAAGCCTTGCTCATGCTTTCTTCTCCTGGAATGTGATTTTGTCCCTTCTCTTTGTATCCAAGTTCACATGTCCATTTCCTGGTGGATTTAAACTTCCAGACCATGAAATAGCCACGTATCCTTGCCCGGACCCCAGGATGTGATTGAAAAACGCTGAGTGTAGCTCACAGCAATCAGGAGTGGTTAAAATGAGAATGTTTTGCTGGAGGGGTAGGGCAGGAATCTGGGTTGTAGTAAGTGCAATCCTAACATTCCTGACAGGTGTCATGCTCTATGATTAGGTGATGTGCATTCATGTTAGTATTTAGATAAGAAAACTTTAGATTAGTAGATAGATGATAGATGATAGGTACACACATACATGCACATGAACACACACATGTATTTAGCATGTCTTTATGGACACATACATTTAGAGACACTGCAGTTCTAATCCAGGAGGCCTCCTGCCTTCTCTGAACTAAATGTCTTTTCTGAGGACGCCAGTTCCCCCAGAGGCTCGCTTACTCACCAGGCCATATGATTTTCAAGCTGGAAAGGCTGACGTCATTTCCTTACGATCACATATGGAAGAATTATTTGTTCCTTGGAGCAGAAGCCCACAACCCCCTTTTTTCCATGCCGTTTCTGGCCGGCGGCCTGCTTGCTGTTCCCTCTGAGTGTCACCTGGGATCTGGGGAGTGAAGCAGCCACCTCACCGGGCAGCAAGTTAAGCTCTCTTCCAGACAGACATAAAACTTCAGGCAGATGTCTTTCCCAGTCTCGTCCAATGGGCGGATTTGGGGTTTTAACTGTAAAGCTCTGGCTGGATCTGCCAATGACCAGGAACAGAATCCCACTGCATCCTTGCCCTGCCGTCTGGAAAGTCATTTAGCTTTTGGGTGGATTCCCCTCCTCCCTTCTCCCCTCCATCCTTTCTGGCCCAGCTACACGCCAGCCTCCTCCAACCTCCAACCCCTTAATGGCTTCATTTCCACTGAAAGTTACTAATGAAAATTCATGATGCTTCCAGACCTAAGTTTCAGTTAAGGCTACTTGGAAGTGGGGTTCAAGGGGACCCCCGGGGCCCCAGGTTCATGGAGTGTAATGGAAGCTGGCAATATGGTCAGCAAAGAGACGTCTGACCTCTAGCTGGCCCCACCTCTCAGACAGGTGGAGCTCTCACCGATGCGCTCGTCTAGCACCTAGAGAGGCGGGCCGCATGGGCGCCCCTCCCGAGGCCTGAGAGCAGGAGGAAACACACCTGTCTCCGGTTGGGTTCCATGAGCCTGTTGGCTGCGAGAGGGGCAGCCGTGGCGCTCGGACGCCCTCTGAGCTCTCAGCAGGCCCTTCCTGCAGCCCTGCCTGCGGGCCACCCTCTCTCATCCACGAGTGAGACCACCCTCCCTTTCCGGGCCTCCCGCTCCTCAGCTGTGAAGCGGTCGCACTAGGTCAGGGCTCTGGAGTCTGTGTGTGCACCAGAGTCACCCAAGGTGCTATTCACAGACACGACGTCCACCCCCGCCCCCATCAAGTCAGGGACTCTGTGGCTGGTGCCGAGGAACGAGCATTTCTGAAACTCTCCCTGTGTTTTTTATGTTTATTGTTGTTAATCCTTCCCTGAGGATATTTTTTCCATTGATTTTTAGAGAGTGAAAAGGAGGGCGGGTTGGGGAAGGAGAGAGAGAGAGAGAAGTGGCAATGTGAGAAACACATTGATCTGCTGCCTCCCGCATGCACCCCGACACGCCGGGGATGGAACCTGCAACCCAGGTATGTGCCCTTGACCGGGAGTCAGACCGATGACCCCTCGGTGCATGGGCCAGCTCTCTAACCATTGAGCCACACCGGGGCTCCCTGTGTTTTGTATATAAGTCTAAGCACCCTGGTTTGAGGACCACCACATTAGAGAACCTCTATCTAAGGTAGGTATTTTACAGAGATACTGCTGCTGCTGAGTTTTAAAAGACTGCAGGCAAGTCCTGGCAGGTTTGGCTCAGTGGTTAGAACGTTGGCCTGCAGACTGAAGGGTCCTGGGTTCGATTCCGGCCAAGGACACGGCACGTACGTTGGTTGCAGGCCCATCCCCGGCTCAGGTCGGGTTGCGGGAAGCAACCAATTGATGTATCTCTCTCTCTCCCTTCCACTCTCTGAAAAGCAATGGAAAAAATATCCGTGGGTGAGGATTTAAAAAAAGACTGCAGGCAAAAAGTGGCCAGCGGAGGGGAGGCAGACAAATGTCACATCCATCAGCCAGGAGGCGGGAGTCATCTGCTTTGGGCAGATTCTGGTGAGAGAGAAGTTTGAAGCTATGTCTGGATTTGGACATAAATTTGGAGAGGAAGGGAATAGGATTTGTCGAGGGGTGTATTTCCTTTTTAATTTTTTTACGAGAATCTGAACAACTACATCACCTAACAAGATTATTCATCTGAATGATATGTACATTACTTAATTTCTAGGTCTGTGTAAATTTGGGCAATTAACTTATATGAGACTTATTTTCTCATCAGTAAAATGGAAATAATAATGTCAATAAGAATTAAGGGGGTTGATATATTTAAATCACTTACATGGTAACTGGCACATTGCAGATATCCAAACATTAAGTTCCCTCACCTTATCTATCTAAAATCAGTCAAATTCAGATTGGGTGTAGGTTTCCCTGATACTAAATAAAGTCATAATTTTAGGGCAGATTTTTAAAATTCAAAATTAGAAGACATATTTAAGACAAAACAGTCCAACGCTTCCCCTCGTTACAGAGTTCTCTCTATACATCCCAGGTATGTGGGCATATAGCCTCTGCTTGGATGCCTCCAGGGATAAGGGGCTCACTTCCTAACAGGGAAGCTTGTGCTGTGGTGCATGGGTCTTGGTTTGTAATAGTTCCTGACTTTGAACTAAATACTCCTTTCTGAGTCCCTTTCAGCTTGATTTCCTCAGTGTGTGTGTGTGTGTGTGTGTGTGTGTGTGTGAGAGAGAGAGAGAGAGAGGGAGAGAGAGAGAGGTGGGGGGAGGAGGTTAATTCATTTCCTTGAAGCCTCAGAAAGACCCCTCTGTTGGGTGGGGGTAGGGAGTGGGACAGAAGATTCTGGCAGTAAGAGCCCTGGTGGCACTGGAGACGCTGGCACTGCTGACCCGTGGAGAAGGCCCTAATGAAGGGGGAAAGAGTCAGCAGGCATGGCGGCAGCCCTTCCCTTGGGAATTTGCCTGTGAGACCACAGCATGGCCATCAGGGAAGAATAAACCCCTTTCGAGCCAGGCTCCTGAGTTCCAGCTCCCTGTCTACTCCAAGGAATTGTTCCCTGTCCCCATCCTGCAGGCCTCTCTGGGGCTCTGCTTGTTCCCATCACACCAACCTCTCCTCCTTCTCGTGACGCTGCAGGTCCCATCATCTGTGGCTTGCTGAGCTCCCCTGACGTCCTGCTTTGCCACGTCAATGACTGGAGGGACCCCTCCAAAGCCAAGGCAAATGCTACATGTCCTGGTGTGACCTACGACCAGGGGAGCCGCCAGGTGACACTGCAACTGGGAGGCCAGGAGTTCAAGAGTAAGTCTCTGGCTTCTGCCGCGGTCCCTTCAGAACTTGTTTTCCTCTCCAGAGAGGCTTTATGCCGCTTTCTTAGGAGCCCTCTCTGTACCCTAAGGAATTTGTACTTCCGCGAAGAACTGCACAGAAATGCTGCCTAAACACACGCATGGCGCCTCGGCTGCATTGCACAGCCGCGTGCTGAGGCTCGCAAGGCCGCAGGCGGCCGAGCGAGGCTGGCTCAGCTGCGCGGCTCTGCCCACCTCAGCCGGGCTCCCTCGTGCTCCCAGGAGTCCCTGGCAGCTGGCTGGTCTGGATGTGGCTGGGGTGGCCTGGCCCTGCTTTGTGGGTCTCTCTTCCTTCTCCGGGATGAGCACATTGTCCTGTAGATGGCAGGCGCAGGGGAGGACCAGAAAAACAAGCCAGGCCAGAAGGTTGAGGCTAGTATCTGACAGTCACTTTCGTCTGGCTGCACTGGCCACAGGTGAGCACGTGGCCGACTGGGAGTCTAGGCATGGGAAATACTTGCCCTTCAGTGGCCGGACCTGCACAGTCTGAAAAATGTGTGACTATAGAAAACCTGGGGACAAAAATGCCATTTGTCCCCAAGCCAGTGCCTCTAGGGCACATGTCCTCTCCGTGGTGACAATTCACTGTCCATTCTAACCACAGGGCTTCAGGGACTGGGGGCCCACTACACGGGCTCAGTCAACAGAAAGAACCATTGCGCTTGCTCCTTCCCTTCTTTTTTTCAGAAGCTCTTCCAGCTTTCCCCCCCAATCCTAGCATTAGAGCCAGAGGTCACCTCTTAGATCACCTGCCATCCCCTCAGTTTACAGGGAGGGTATTAGTGCCTGAGCTTCAGGGGGCAGTTTTCTCTCCAGCCTCAGCCTCCCGAGCCCTGTGCTGCCCTCTCCTGGCAGATCCCCATCCTGGAAGAGCAGATCCTGCTCTGACCTCAGCTGGACACTGACCACACAGTGCTCCTCAGTGTGGCCAGGACTGGCAGGCTCAGCACCACCAGGGGCTCATTAAAAATGCAAATTCTCAGGCCCTACCCCAGGCCCCAGGGTGGCCCCAGGAATCTGTTCTCATGAGCCCTCTGAATGATGCTATGCCTGGTAAATGTGAGGAGCAATGACCAGGTGACCAGGCTCCAACCTGAAGAGCCTGAATTTATGGCAAGAACAGGATCCAGGTGCTCACTCGCCTCTTCTGGTTCCAGCGCGAGGTTGGGGGACACCTGGCTTCACCTTGCCTCCTCTCTGCACTATTGATCTGCCAGCACCTGACCTCAGAACTCAGTGCTGTGGTTCTGACCCAGCCTCTGAGCTGGAGGGAGAAAGCACATACAAGTGTCAGCCAGACCTGAGGGGAAGTGGTTGAAGGGAGGACAAGGAACAGCCTCGGGGAGCCCTCAGAGGCCTCCTATCACTGTGGGACATGGCTCCCCAGGGCTAGGAGAGACCATCTGTTTCCTGCCCCCTGGAGTTTCCAAAACCTACTTCTCAGTGGACTGCCATTCTCAGGGTCCTAATGGTGGAGAACTCACTCTCACCTCCTCCGAGAGCCCTCCCAGACCACCTCGCAGAGCTTCGTGTGAGCTCCATACATTGCTCCCTCGGGCGGTATGGTGGGCAGGGCTGAAATCATGCCTTTGCCTGTCTCTGTCCCTCACTGGCCCAGCTGGGAGTTTGCCTGTGGTGTTGACTCCCAGCTTTGGGCACTGATTGTGTGACCTTGAGCAAGGTAATAAAAGTGGGAGAGTTTCCATCTCACAGGTGTGTGCAAAGAAAGGAGATAACGACGACAATAAAGAAGTGGCCTCCATCACGCTTTTGTGTGCCAGGTGCTGCTCTAAGGCCTTTGTCTTCATTAACTCAAACCCTCGGCACGGTGCTTTGAGGGAGGCCCTGTTACCACCATTGTCCCCATTCTCCAGCTGAAGAAACTGAGGCACACAGAAAGGAGGGCTTCCCAAGGTCTTGGAGCTTGGAGACAGAAGGGCTGGGATTTGAAAGCAGGCCATCTGTCTCCACAGTGACCTTCTGAGCCCCTCTCTGTCTTAGCGCTTGCAGATGATACACGGTGTTACTATTAGGGGATATGAGTATCCTTTTAAAACCTGTCATTGTTTTCTGTGATGTTTTAAGAGCTGGACTGTGTCTTGTTAATTTTTGGACTTACACCATCGAGCATAGAGCCTGGCCTAGAGAATGCAGACCATCTGGGAAGAGCGCCTCTACCAAAGCCTGGAAAAAATATCTCCGGGTCAGGTGGAATTCCACGGCGGGCGCTGAGATTCTTCTGGGGTAAATAAAACCAAACAGCTCATTTCTCTGATGGATCATAAACATATGGTATTGATTACTCTGAGAGGTAGCCCAGGATGGAAACAAGCATTTGAAGGAAGACATAGGACATATTCGTGGGCAATAAATCCACAATGAACTGCTTAACACGGAGCATGTGCTTGGTATGAGCCCAAGAACCGAAGAATGTGCCCACGTCTGGCCTCCCTGAGAAGCACTGATTACCGAACGATTTTTGGACTTTTGAGTTGTTTTCAGTATCCTGTGCGTATGTGTATATTTTGGGGTGCGGTGAAAACGCTGAGAAGGATATCCTTTGATGGGGATTTCAGGCAGCCTAAGGCATATTCATGATGTTTCAAATTGGAGGTAGGGGCTACCAGCATAATCTACTTCAAGATTTAAAGGGCTGCGGGGAGAGAGGGACAGGTGGTCCGGGAAGGCCGGGGGTTAGGCGTGAGTTGCAGAGATGCATTGGGAGGTGTGTGAACAGACGTGAGGAGCGAGTTGTTCAGCTCACGCATCCATCCATTTCTGTTTAACTTTCATGCCTGGGTTGACCTGGGCCTTGAGCAGGAACCCACACAGGGTCTGCAACTTCTTAATTTCCAGGGGGAGTCTCTGGACATTTTCAACTATTAGGTGTTGGCTGGATTGATCTTCCTATTTGCCAAGAAAAAGGGCTTAGGAAGCTCTGGGACTGCATATGTCTCATTTCTGACAATGTCTTGAAGTGTAAATGAATGAAAAACAGGCTGGTTAAATGTCCCCTAATGCCCACAGCAACTTAAAGTTTGATAGGAAAAATAGGCCTTGGCAGAAGTACTCCAGGTTTATTCCGAATTTCAAAGGCTTCCTGTTGTTGAGCAATGGTGAGCCTCAGGCTGATGGCTGGCACTCCCGCACAGGAGTCCCTTTTGTATAAGTGATTGTCGTTATCTTGGGATGTGGTGGAAAAACTTACATGATGTTCATTGTCACCAGATGCACCTGGAGTCAATGTCTGATGGAGACCTACAAACAAGATGACCCTTAGTTCTTTACAATATTGTTGGTTGTGTTACAGTGTGCTTAGCACTAAGAGGAGCTCAGGACAAGATTTCGGAAGTTCAGCTTATTTAGGAAGGAAAAGAAATACAGTGGTACCTTGGTTTTCGAATGTGATCGGTTCCGGAAGACCGTTCGAGTTCTGAAATGTTCGAAAACCGAGGGATCCACAGCCGACAGCTAGGCCTCAGGATCTTGCCCGCAGCAGAAGCCGCATGGCTTGTTCGACTTCCGAGGCGTGTTGGAAAACCGAAGCATTTACTGCAGGGTTGACGGTGTTTGTAAACTGAAACTTTCTTCGACGGAGACGGTCGAAAACCGAGGTACCACTGTACAAGGAGGGACATGGGGAGGTGATGCAGGGAGGAGCAGATGGCAGTGAAAGGGGCATCTGAAACCTGCCTGGTCCGGCTCAGAGTCCTGCCCGCTCCCGGACTGTAGATGCCAGCCAGCCATCCATACAGTGCGTGACCTCTGCAGAGGTAAATTAAGACTGTGCAAACCCCATGAACCAGGCTCCATGCCAAAGCACCAAAGCCCCAAGGGTGTCCGTGTGCCTGCAGCCTTGATCACAGAGCGGGCACTGATGAGTCGGGGTTTGCAGGCCTGTTTGTGAGACAGGGACACTATAACCCGGCCACCGTGGAGGGACTGCAACAGAAGTCTGGACAGTCAGACAATATTGTCCAGCGGGGAGGAGGAGGGATGATGTTGGCTTGGTCCTATGCACCTTCTCACAATCAACAGTTTTGGACCAGGGAAGTTTTGGGGAATGGAGGTGAAGGGTCAGAAGTCCGCATCAGGGAAACGAATTTGGTGGCCAGCGGATGGACGTGGCAGACGAGGCTCTGCGTTGACTTGGTGGGCTCTGGGTGTCACCGAAGGCTCCGTTCTCCTCAGCCGTCCCTCCTTGCCTTTGTTATCTGCTGAACACCGCTTCCTGACAGGGACTGTGCTAGGTGTGGGAGACATGAAAAGAAGCAAGACCCAAAACCTCTGGGCCGCCTGCTCCCGTCCAGCGTGGGCTTAGAGAGAGGGCCTGCCTAGCGCGCGCAAACCCAGAGGAGGGGGTGTAACCAGCCAGGGCGCCCGGGGCCTGCCAGGCGGTGCTGCAGACCGTGTTGCCTAAAGAATGAAGAGAGGTTAGCCGGTGAGAGGGGGCAAGGGCTCTAGGCAGAGAGGAAAAATACCCGCAATGGTGCAGAGGCCTGAAAGCAAGCCCCAGGTCTGACTGGGAGACAGGCACATTGGACACATTGCTGCTCAGATGGTCAAGAACCAGATGGCAGGGGAGTGCATTCTGGAATCCAGGGTAGCCTTGCAGGACTGGAGGGAGGTTTCCAGGAGGAATGTCCTCCTTCCAGGAGGAATGTTCCGGGGCTCTGTGGCTGTGGGATGAGAGGGAGCCAAGGGGTAAGTGAAATCTAATGACACTAGAAGCTGTGATGAGGTCTGAACTTCAGAGGAAAGGTGGGTTTAGGACCAGATGGGGAAATAGCCTGGTGGATGTGGAGACCGATGCAGGGGGAGGAGTTGAGGATGATTGAGAGGGCGAGGAGGGAGCCGCTGGTACCACTAACTGACGTAAAAGCATAGGAGGAGGTGAATCTGGATGTAGACGTGGGATTGGGATGGGAGATGATAAAGGTAAGAGGAAAAGGGGCAATATCATTTCTCTTACCTTGGTGTTCTGTGTCCCTATGAAGACTCCGCAATCATTTTAACAATTAGAACCTCCAGGGAGTTGTAACTTCCTTGTGGGGATTTACAAAGATGCTTCTCAGGGCACAGTAGTCTCTGCGGATGCTGGTCAGGTGACCTTCTGTCTCCACCAAGGTGCTAACATTCATGTGCAGAATTGAACTGAATTCCATTGGATTGAATTGTGTTGAAATGAACAAAAGCCATGGATGATTTAAGACTCACCTCGCTGGAAGACACAGGGCTCCATTGTCTTGAGATGGACAGAAAGTATATAAGGGCTGGTTTTTAAATAGTTCAGAGCATTCTTGGCCAAAATGCATCCTGATACCTGCTTGCATCTGTATGGAGCCCCTGCTTTCCTCTGGACAATGGAGGGCAAGTATGATTTTTCTCTCCACTCTACCTAAAGCAAGTCATACATATCAGACAAAATCAAGGAGCTCTGGACCACATGAGAGGCTCCCCAACTCACCCTAGTCAGAAACAGGAATGCCAACACTCCTCCTGGAATTCCCTAAAAGATTATTGCTCTTGGGAAGCAGCAGGAACAGGGATTTGAGCTAATCTTTACTGAAAACCCATAAGCTAATGCTCAATGTTATCCCAGGGTCAACTATGTGTCAGACTGGTTGTTGGTTTTAGTCTTAGATGTGAGAGCAATAAAGCCCCCTAGAGATAAGATGCCATTTTTCCAACATTCACAGGCTAAAAAGAATCATAAACATGGCCTAAAGTTTTATTTACTTTACATCTGTGTTACCCCCCTATCTATCATCTATCTATCTATCTATCTATCTATCTATCTATCTATCTATCTCTCTCTCTCTCTCTCTCTCTCTCTCTCTCTCTCTC